TTCCACCACCGGACTGAATGATATAGACATCCTTTCCACGAACGGATTCCTTGATCTCCACTCGGGTCTCACCCACGGAGAATTTTGACAGCAGAACATCTGCCGGCGGGATGCCCAGCACGTTGCAGATGGTCTGAGTCAATTGCGGGTGGGAAGTGCCCCCGATAACAACGATGTTCCGGACCATGTTGGACTGTTCTTCAGACTTGGAAGGCTGTGGGAAGCTGGGAGGATAGAGAGTCACAGGAGAGGAAGACCGATTCGGAAGCGGGGACAAAGGAGGAAAATCTGGTAAAACGGCGGATCTGGAGGGGCGGGAGGAATGGTGAGATTAGCACGATAAAAGACGAGCTTGGAGATAGCAAAAGAAGAATAAGTAATCTCGTGGCGAGGACAGACAGGCAACTACCTCATGGCGGGGATTCAGGAACGGGGTCCAAGCGAATGTATGGGGAAGACATTGAAACGGAGAGATCGAAGTCGTGTGAGTCCGCCATAGAGACGACCGAAAAAAAAAATGCCTCTCCCGCGAGTGGAACCGGCGTTGCTGCAGCCTCGGGTGTCTGCCGTTATGAGCCTCAGGCTGCAACTTGCCCTATCGGGCTAGGAATGTCTGGTCGCCATCGACGCATTCAACGGCCCCGCAGCCACACTAAAAATGACCCGGACTTGTTCTCCAGCCTTGTCCTCCCTGGAACCTGGGGATGCTCAAGTAATAGTCGATCGAGGGAATGAAGGGGTGATTCAGCACACCACCATTCAGGCAGTCAGCATTTGTTAGGCCCAGAAACAACGCGGTCGTTATTTCCCCTGTCTGCAAGAAAATTGAAAATAACAAAAAAAAGAAAAAGGTATTCAACTTTCGCCTTGTCCGTTACAGATGGCAGCTGGCGCATTACACCAAGATGAGTAGTCTCCATTTGCCGGTAGGTACATGGAAACTAAATATGATAGGAAAAATATCCCAGAAGCAACAAGGAAACAGAAAAGGCTGGATTTCCATTCAGTTCTCCGTATTCCCATCGCTCAGGCCGAGATACCCAGATATGGCAACCCGGAAGCCTGGAGTCTCACATAACAACAGAAGCTGTCTAATGGCTTGTTGGAACTAGTACCTGTCAATTGTATGGTCAGCAATACATCTCCTTATGAGGTGCATCGAGCTCGGTATGTGATTGAGCTCCATTTGAAGTTCTCGGGAGGAATTTGCTCACAGATCTACTTGTTTGGGATGGCCATACTCACATGGTCACCGGATGAACAGCCGCAAAACTATCAAGCTAACTGTAAAATCTGGAATTTAGCTAGGTTGTATGTTAATGTCAGCCGTAGTGTGTAAGTTGGTTGTTGAAGTGCAGATGAAGACAGAGAGTAGTAAGAGTTTGTAGTCTCTTCGTGGGCCAGCTGTCACTGTTCTGCTGAGCACTGTTTAGTTTTGTTGCTACCCCTTAAAACCCCACTCTTTCTCATCAAAGACCTCTCTGAAGCGGAGAGAGACTAACCTGTTTTTGACCCATGGACTGTGATCCCTACTCATCTATACCAAGATTTTCATGTTTCACTTCTTTTGGAGGGCCGGCCATGGGACTCCGGCTCTTGTCACCAAAGCACACTTCTGGGAGCCTGGTCCCGGAACGTTACAACGGCCACTGATAAGGCAACGAAGTTGAGCAATGCGTAGGACAGGCGTCTAAGATTAGGAGATGCAACAATAAACACGTGACGCCGTATCGCAGAGGCCCGACGATGGAGGTGAGACACCTAAGCCGTAAGGGGACTAGACTGAAGAACGCCGATATCCCGCGGAGAGAGACTCCCGAAGCTACATGCCAGACATTATGACTTCAATGATTGGAAACTTCTGCGTGTCTCTCAATTAGCGCGCATCAATGGGATATTCCTACGAGAATTGAACACCAATATCGCCTCAAATGCCGAGTCGCCTTATTTTACGGCGTCCGTCTCCGACGACCGTCTCCTTCACGGTTTCCAATGCCTCCAGACGCACGAGCACGCCAGCAAAGGCCTTCTTCTACCTACAAATTTTGTTGCGCGCAGTCATCTTTTTCTGTGTGCTCCTCCTGGATGCTGCGAAGTTCCGCCGTACATTTTTTATGGAAGATGGCTCATGGATACGTTGGACAACAATCTGGTCGAGTGCGCTGGGGATATCCGTCTGTCGCATCGCGGATGCGTACAGCTCTGCGGTGGTAGTTTTGGCAAGCGCAATAGTTTTCTACGGTGTTTTCAGGAAGGGATACACAGGTTCGCCCAGGAAATCTCCATGGAAAGGGATAGATTTGATACTGACTGCGCTTTGCTCCAAAACAGAAGAGTCGCTCCTGGTTATACGCGGTCTCGGTATTCAGACGTCTACCTCCTCCCAGACGTACCTGTCAAAGGCTTCGACAAGGTTCATACCTACTACACAGATTCAAGATATCGTGATACATGAAGCTTTCAAGGGATTTGAGGTTAGGTTCTACCTTGCAGTAATCGTCGAAGGTGAAAGCGAAGTGGTTGTGGTGTTCCCTGTGAGTACCTACCTATACCTATTCAGCACCTACCCGTAGGAGCTGCCATGTCGGTTGTCTAATGCGAGCCAGAAACTGTTACCAAATCGGCAAATACTAGAGGAGGTCTGGAGGGGTTCGCGGAGCTGTTTGTATGATTCGAAGTCATAATGGAGCCCAGCTTCCCGCCTTGAAGAAATCAATCGCTTTCTGCTTGAGAGGTGGGCCATCTTGCACATATATTCTAGAAGTGAGTATATACAATCTTCTGTCTACTGTTCCATTTTGGTGGCCTTTGCGCCATTCTCCATCTTGCGCTGCTTTGCCGCTAGCCACCTCGCATTCTGGACTTCCACGAGCTCCGTCTTTCGCTTCTGCATGACTGGAACATAGTACCCGCCGGTTCTGGCTTCATTAGACCCCACAAAGATTTTCTTACCCCGGTTCTTTCTCTCCCAGATTGGCTCGACTCCATCACCAATAGTGAGACTCTTGTCGCCCTGACTGACGGCCAAGTCTAGTAATGCGCCAGCCAAGATTTCCTCCATCTTGCGCTGCCTCCAAACGGACCAGAGCTCCTCTACGATTCCTCCAAGACCAAACTTGCCACCTCCCTTGCCAAGGTGAGACTTGATCTGTCGAACGTCACCCGCATAAACCCAATCCAAGCTATCAGCACGGCTGCCGCTCTTCTTATCGGGGTAGATGCAGTCCCAAAGCACCAAGGGGGCATCGGAAGCCATCTCATAGGTTGGCTTTCGCGGGTTCTTAGTCACGTCAAGAAGATCCTGTACGATGGAGGGTTCCTCAAGCCCCTGACCGACAAGGAAAAGGACATTGACCATGTGTCGGACCTGATGCCACAGGAAAGCAGAACCCTCCAGATGGAAGACATATACCTGCGCTGCTGTTGGCAGAGGTGCCGTTGAAGACTCTGCGCTTTCATCCGCACCCGAGGCTGGTCTAGCCTGGAATTCTGGCTGAGTCACATAGCCCAGGGGATTGGTGCGAGCATCGAGAAGCTCAATGTCAGCACGGAAGATGTCTCGGTAGAAAGACTCGATCTGTTTCGTCACGTCCAATTTACAGAAGTTCCGGAAGTCGTGTGTACCTTCGAAATACTTCGCAGCTTTGCGCATCGCTTCAATGTCCAACCAACCCTCTCGCAGCTTCGGAGGCTTGCCTGATCCATCTCGCGGCACAAAGCCCGAGGCACCTGGCGTAGGAGAAAAGGCTGGCTGCGTGAAGAAGTACTTGTAATGGCGTTCCCCGCAAGAAAAGCGGGCATCGAACCCCTCAGGAGGACGTGGGCACCATGCCAATACACGAATATCTTCAGGAAGCACCTTGTTCAACATGCTCACGTAGGGTAGCTCATCTTTAACGTCATCCCAGCCATCGTCGGCCGACGCATTGGCCTCCTCCGTATTCTGCATGGTGGTATCGGCATTCTCGTCCGACTGAACGACCTCGTTGCGCTTCGGCCGTGCACTCCGCACTCTAATGCCAATTACCTGCCCAAAGGCACTAACTCCTCGATCTGTACGCCCAGCCTTGGAATATTCACATCCATCCCAATTGATATAGTACGGCTTCGTCTCTCTCGGCGCATAGCTCTCCACGAACTCATCACCAGTTGTATCGGTCGGGAAAATCAACCGGGTCTTCCGTAAAGCCTTGTACATCTCCTCCTCAATCGTAGGTAGCGGCGTGGCATTCCCGTTCGCATGCTCAAGCCCATTGTACCGTTGTCCAAGATAGGCGAACTTCAACGCGATGAACCGTGTATTATACCTCGACGGATCGATTTCCCTGCGCGGTTTCGGGGGCTTTGGCGGCTTCACCTGCTTCTTCTTCTCCGCTCCCGCCGCAGGAGACGAAGGCTCCTTCTGGTTCACTTTCCCATCACTCGATGCACTCCTGGCTGCGTCTTTGGCCGCGTCCTCGGGCTGCTTCGCAGGAGGTGTAGCATACTCCGCGGTGCGGGAGTGTAACTGGCGTTCTAGTTCAGTGATTCGGGCGACAAGTCTCGACGTAGTCCATGTCGAGTAGTCGGCTTCGTTGGTAGGGACTTGTTGGTCCTCGGCCATGTTCCCGGACATGGTATTTGTAGGTTGGGAATCGACTTGGGCGTGCGAGCGGGACAGGGATTGGAATGTGCGCCTCGTTGTTGAGGGTGTACGCTGTGCTGATGTGCGACTCAAGAAAGAACAAAGGTTTCCTTGGAACCTTCGCATCCCTATGAGCACGTTGTGTGTGTGTCCCACGCTGCTGGGTTGCCGCGGAGGGGAGATTTTTGCGGCAAAATTTTAGAACTTCTGATAAGTACTATGGGTGGTGATTGCGTAATGAGAGCGTATGGTATTGTTACATGGGTAGTCGTGGCAAGCTTCATGGGGTATCTTTTGTATTGCATGGTAAGATGGCAGTTAACATGGATTTCATACTCGGAGTATCCGTCATTTGCATAGTAAACAGTCAGTTTTCCTGGTTTTATCGGAGTCGTCTTCTTTCTAAAGGAGATCTGGGGGGGTCTTGGTTGGAAACGCTGGAGCTAGAGCAACATGGCTGCGGTCTGGTTCCGCTTTATATCCGCAGATTATCATGAACGTTGCGTACTCAATCAAACCCTTGCTTTTGTACCATTAAGCATACTATGTGACACTCTAGATGTGTCTGAGTTCGACGCCAATATATATATCCTCGTCTTATACAAAGCTCAGGCTGTGCCAGAAAATCGTGTCCAATGGCAGAAAACAACCTCCCGCAGGATGAACAGACAGTGACTATTCTGCTCCTCGGAGACCCGGGATGTGGTAAAACAACATTTCTATCGTAAGTGCAGTGCCTTCTATGACAATAGTCCCATCTTCAAATCACTGTCATTTACTAACGACGGATTAGGAGCTTGAAGTCCAACCTTCGTAGACACCATGGACAGACGCCTAGTCAGGAAAATATTGAGGAATCCCTTCTACGGGACAGTGACCAGCCATTCATCTACGAAATCCGCTTCTCAAAGAAGTCATTCAGACTTGAAGTATATGACACCGCAAGTCCCAACCAACATTGGTCTACTTTGCAGCCCGATGTTATACTTCTGGCATTCGATATCTCAAATAGAGATACCTTGAACAATCTTCGCAATGTAGGACATACCCCATGTCTTGCATGTTCTGGTGGCTCTCAATACTGATTTTTATGTTATAGTGGCGAAATGATATCACCAGGTACTTCCAGAACGGTTATGGTGAACGCATACCGATTATGTTGATTGGCTTGAAGAGAGATCTTAGAGTGGAATGTGAGGGAGTTATATATCCTCAAGAGGTGAGTAGATCCTCCCAATCATCGGGATCGATTGTTCAAGTCTATCTGTGCTGTATGCAGGATCGGAGCTAACTGATATCATATATATAGTCGTATCGGATTGCGCAGGAACTCCGATGTGATCAGTATGCGGAGTGCTCTGCTGTCACTGGGGAACTCTTACGAGAGACGTTTGAAGATATTGCGCGGCTTGCTGGAATGACGACTACGGCGGCTGGAGGCCAAACTGCTGGCGCTTGTGTTATTCTTTAGTATACTTGATACCCTTATTGATTTTGTGGATCCATCATGTTTAGATATGTGATATATTTACTTAAATTTGTTGGCTTAGAATAACGGTACTTGATGCCTAACCGTTCCTATCCTCCTGAGTGATACGTGACGAGATTGGCACCACAGGTATCAGCATGGGCTTCTACGCATTCTTTCTGACCTACGTCTACTGTTGACTACTAGAGACCACACTTATACATGGAGAACAATGGTAGCTAGCATCACTTTTCGATTACGGCTATGATAAACATACAGGGAGAAACCAAGGTAACGATTAAGTCCACCTTGTGAAATTGACAGCACAGGGCTTTCCCCCAGAAGCTCACTGAGGCAAGAGAACAACTGGATATCTTTCCCTCATAAGCGCCAGTCAATCATTGACAATGCAATTCCTCCCCGATGCACCATAAGCGGAACGTGAAAACGGACTGCAGAAGGAGACTTCGCTGTAGCATACCACGAAAGAAGAAGTAGGAAGATGATGTTTTGAAGTAGTGAAGCTCCCGTTGATTCTTTTCCTCTTTTTTCTTCTTTGTCTTTTTTGGAAATACCTGAACTGAGACTAGGATAGACACGACAAGGGATTTTTTGTTCTTTCATTGCAAGGAACCGCCGGAAAGACGTTCCTTGATGATTAAGGGGTCCTCGTCACCCTCAACCAATCGCCATTGTTTCGTCAATCCTCGTTGCGAAGTCCAGATGTTTACCACTTAGCCTCGGTGGGCTGGGCCTCAGCCCAGCTCTCACCAGCAGGAGCGGCAGAGCTGGCAGCCCAGTCGCCACCCTCAGCCTCCCAGCTGGCAGCACCAGCAGCAGCGCTAGCAGCAGCGAAAGCAGTGCCAGGAACACCGGCACCGGCACCGGCAACATCCCAGTTGTCACCAGCGAAGCCGGACTCGATGGCACCAGCACCGACCTCCTCAGCGCTGGCAACCTTCTCCTCGACGACCTCCTTGTTCTCCTCAGCCTCGGGGTCACGGTAGAAGTACAGGTCAACAACGACGTCCCAGTCAACCTCACGGGAAGCGAGGGTACCACGGAGGCGGAGGACCTCACGGGCAAGGAGCCACCAGACGAGACCGATGGCGTGGCGACCCTTGTTGTTGGTGGGGATGGCAACGTCGACGAAGTCGGTGGGGGAGTCAGTGTCGCAAAGGGCAATGACGGGGATGTTGACGTAGCTGGCCTCCTTGATGGCCTGGGCGTCGGTGCGAGGGTCGGTGACGATGATCAGGCGGGGCTCCTTGAAAGAGCGGGTGATGTAGTTGGTGAAGTTACCGGGGGTGAAACGACCAGCGATGGCGGTAGCACCGGTGTGGGAGGCGAACTTCAGGACAGCACGCTGGCCGTAGGGACGAGCGGAGATGACACAGATGTCGGCCGGGTTGTCGATGGCGGCGATGATACGGGCAGCGAGGAGGATCTTCTCCCTGTAAGTTCGCGCGGCGTTAGGCAACGATTCTGGATAGCATGCGCGCATTAGATTGCCTGACAAACATACCAGGTCTTGCCAATGTTGATGACATTGACACCGTCGGGGCGAGTCTTCCAGAGGTAAGGCTCCATGTGAGACTGGAGGTTCTTGGACCCGAGGTGGCACTGAGCTGCGAGGAGCATCTCAATGTCCTGGGAGGTGGGGTTGAAGATCGGGGGGAGCTGAGAGGGGGCCATGGTGGGCGATTGATATTGCAAAGATCGATTTGAGTATATCAATCGTCTGGCACTTGTCGTGGTGGTGGTGACGGGGAGACGAACGCGAAGCTGAACTTTTGGCACCGCGCTTGAGATGGTCGATGAATTTCGCTTGCCCTTTGTGAATTTTAGGGCTAGGGTTACCTTGGAAGAGCCTCCGATCCGCCCGGGATATCACGTGCAACTCCAGGTCCCGATGCGGACTAGCGCAATTCGGGGCCTCGAGATTTTGGAGACTTCCAACCTGAGTCCGCGGCCTTTGATGCGAAGGCGCCCGGAAGTGCTATTTGTTAATCGTTGCGGTCACTCCCTCCCTAGCTCGTGAGAATGCCTCCCCGCATTCTACTTCAGCCCTCCCTGAGGGCCCTCACTGGTAAGTACTGTCTTGCTGCCTCCCCCTTCTGATCACGCCGAGTAACTGACCGGGTTGTCGCTTTTTCAGGCCCTTCCTCCGTGCAGCTTCCCTTTGCCGCATTGTCGCTCAACCCGGCCAAAACCTCCGTGAGAGCTGGGTCTACAGAGTCCCGAGAGCGCAGACGCCATGACCCTTTCCTAATGGCGCAGTCTCGTCAACGCAAGGCCGCCAACATCTCCCGCCAGAAAGCCCTGGCCCAAGAGCGCGAAGGGTCTGTCGGCGACCCCGTCCAAAGTGAACCGACGCCCTTCATCCAGGAACTTAGAAAGACGCAAGCGACTTTGCAGGACACAGACCTCAATTACTTCGTCACACCGGATGGTCTCAATGAGGCGTTGGAATACTCGAAGAACCTGACATCACCGATTCGGAACCCGGATCGCGACACTGCTGATCCTCAGCTCGAGAAAGAAGCCGCCGAAAAGCACCTTCAAGAACATCGGAATGCACAGGAAGCCATCCGTCGTATTGTCAGTGTCGCCAACGGAAACACAAAGGACCACATGCGTCTTCATATTCAGAAATGCATTGAGACCTTTGGTCGGCATAAGACCGACAGCGAATTGCCTCCCAAGCCTTCTGGTGTATCGCATGACTCTGCGACTGTTCATCTTGAGAAAACTCCCCGGGTTGGCCCGGATACTGGCTCTCCGGAAGTGCAGGTTGCTATTCTCACGGCAAAGATCATGAACTTGTCTAGGCATCTCCAGACGACGAAAAAGGACCGACACAACAAGCGTAACCTGCGTCTACTTGTGCACAAGAGACAGAAGTTGCTTCGCTACTTGCGGAGAAAGGAGAGGGGTGGCCCCAGGTGGCAGAATCTGATGGAGAAGCTGGGTCTCTCGGAAGCTGCCTGGAAGGGTGAGATCTCCATGTAAATTAGCTCTTTGGCGCTTGTATTCTACATATCTTCTTTTCTTTGTATTTCCCCTGCTTAAGCTTAATCTCAGCGTGTAACCTTATGTATCGATCAATGGGCCCTTCCTATTTCATAGTGTCTATGACAAAGAACCTGTGGGTATTTCATGCCCATTGTTCATACTTCACCACTTCGGTGTTGTGATGCGCTGTAAAACTGTCTGTTGTATGTCTTTTGTTGTCCTCCTTGCGCTAAACCCTGAAGTGCCTCACCGGCCCTTTCCAATCATTAATTATCGATCTTATAGTTCCCATTCAGACGATACAAGTAGTTGTAGGAGTAGCAGGGTGTTACTACAGTAGTACTCTTGAAGTTGGCCAAGGGCGGCAACAGCAGTCATTGGGCGAAATCCCCACCGCCTGGTGTTCTGCCGAGACGTCACCCCCCGAGTCGCAAAATTCCCGCGCAAAAGTTCCCCCAAACTTCATCTTTCTATACCACGACCTTGCTCGCCGAGGTCAGTGAATATCGTCGACTGCCTCCGGGCGCTGATTTGACGCGTCATAACCAACATTACCCAGCAACACGAGGTAACATTCACTGTAAGCCAGTGTTATGTTTTTCAACAAGTCAGTACTGTTTTTATCAACCTGCCTCTTCCCCCCTCTCACTCTCTTCCCCTTCATAATTCCCATCCCTCCGTATCTTCGTCGATATCGCACTTGCGCTACCGATTTACATTGCTTCGATCTCTCATTTGCACGATTCTTTATCCCACCGGATTATCTTCTCTCGCAGGTGCTAACTTGCCTTACAAGTTAGATTTAACTCTCCTCCATAACGTCCCTTTGCTCCGCGTTCTTCAAGATCTCAAATCGCGACTAAGCGAGACGATCTTTCTTCTCATACCTTCCGATCAAAATACCGCGTCGCATCAAGATTACGGCAACCTATAGGGTAGCTGAATCACCTTTTATCAACCTGTCCTCACACCTTTTTGTAAAGGTTTCTTACATTACGTTCCTGTCTTACCTCTTCTTATTACCCGCACCCTTCTAGTCACTCAGTTTGTTGGTGGCTTTGTCTCAGGTTACTGGATTTCACCAGCCTGAATTGAACACCTTTTTGCTTTCACCTTCATCACAGTCAAGATGCGTACTCGTTCACAGCAAGCTTCGCCCGGTGGCTTCGTGTCACTCGAGGAAAATGCCCCACGTCGAACCAGGTCTGCGAGGAATGCTGCGCACCAGGAACCTGCAACGTCAGAGCAACCCCCGACCCGTGCAAAGTCTCAGCGCGCACCTAAGAAGACGAATACCTCTACCACCAAGAAGCCCACAAACAAGACCCAGACACGGAAAACCACTACAACGAAGCGCACGACGCGCCAGTCGACACGTAAAACCGACAAGCCCGTTTCAGACGAGGATACGCAGCCCACCCATACAGAGGAAGATCTCGCCACAGATACTACGGCTGCAGAGATGACTACCCCTGTGGAGGACCCGAAAGTTGTCGACCCAACACCCTCAGTATCTGAAAACGAAAACCCTGATCGTGAGTACATTCCCTGTGTTTCTCACCCTCCTATGGTCCCCCAATCCCCCAAGAAGACCCAGGAGATCGATTGTTTTGATGGCCCGGATCCCCGGGGTATCAGGGCTGCCTCGTGTCTCGAATCCTTCATCGACGAGCTAAGTAGTGTCGGCTCGCCTCTCTCTGAGAGGTCGAAGACGCCATCTTGGACGTCGGAGGATGAGACCGAGGCAGCCCTGGCACCGCGTCCCGCGCAGGAGTCGGGCGCCACCAACATTGAGACATCGGCAATCACAGAGAGAGTCTCACTCCCGACTCCTGCCGCGGAAGAGCGCACCTTTGAGCCGCCTGCGGAACCAACCGTGGCGGAGCCAAGGGGAGTCACCGTCGTGACATCCCCTGAGCAGTTCAACACTGCCTCATTGGCTTCCGCTGCGGGCTCCGGAGGAGTGGTGGTCGTCGAGGACGAGCGGGTGGGCGCACTTATTGCGTCCTTTGCCAGATTGTCTTTGGATGATCTCGCGCCTCGCTCGTCCAATGAAGCGGCTGCCACTTTGATGGAGTCGACTACCGCGTCGTTCGGAGAGCCTGTTGAGCCCGCCCGCGTCACTCGCCGAAGCCTTCGCGCTTCTCGGCAAGAGTGGATTCGGGACTGGGCTCAACAGG